TAATTCTTTTACTATTTTAAAAAGAAGGTAAAGAGTAGCGACATTGTATATTTCTGATAATCTGTTCATTATCAGAAAAACCTAGTAAAAGAATTACCTTCTTTTTACTTCTGGTCTCTCTTCTCTCAATTTCTCTCTTTTCTGCTACTCAACTGTCTAGTTTCTTGTTCCTAAAGCTCTTTCCTATTCCTCCCAAAACCTCTAACCAACATTAAAGACAGAAAGAACTACATGTTAGGTAACCTACTAACTTAACTAACTAAAAATTTTCTGGCAGCATATATCAGGTTTTGGCTCAGCTATGGAAGAGATTATTGGAATTCCTCATTGTTGCTGTCACCCTCTTATCGTCCAACATCGTAGACAGATGCCTGTAGGCATTAAAATCTCCACAATGCACCAAGAAGGGCTATATAAACCACACATATACGAAAGCTCCTCCCATAAATAGTATGGAACCAAGGGAGAATTGAAGCCATACAAACAAGTAATCACCAAGTCCCCTTAGCCCTAATATTCAGGAGAACTTAAAGAGGGAAATAACCTTCAACGCATTCGACATAATAAGCCAATTTATTATCCCGCATCACCTAATGACACCTTGAAGCCCCAACGGCAGGCCTAAGAGACTATTACGCGAATCTAGAATCCTGAAAGGTATTTATATTAGTTTCTAACTAACCTTTCTAAAAAAAATTAGACTAAGAAATTTTAATACTGATAGGACGAGGAATACAAAAATTGAATACTAAAAAGAATAAAGAAATTCTAAAGTTACGAAAATCATAATAAACTAATAATAGAATTCTAAATAGTCTTTTTAAAAAAAATAAAAACTTGTATTATGCATATGACACTAAGGGGGTGCTTCCCCTAGTCTGAGCATGGAGTTTCTCTAGATTGCTCCAGATACTGCATTTCTCGTTTTCTCTCTAACCTTTTTTCCGACATCGTACCCTGGTCGGCCAAGCTTTCCATGAGCTCGTATAGACGAAGATTTCTTGCTATTGAGAATAAATCTTACGATTTATATTGTGATGGAAAGAAAACTGATGGCCTATGAATTACCGGAAATGGACGTGGGTTCCGAAAATCAATTTACTTAGACAAAGACGAATATGAATGGTTCCTTGATGCAATAGATGATTTTTGGTGGAGAAGGAGACCGGGTACTTGGGCTAAACACTTGGTGAAAAAGAACTACGAGTTATGGCTGGCTTTTGGCTCTAATAGAAGAGGGGAGTACTTGGTGTTAACGATACAAAGAGATCGTTGAGCAAAGAGAATCTTCTTTCTAGGGGGAATGTAGGGGAGAGGATGGTGGAAATTGATGGTGGCAGCCTTTGAATTAGTGGATAAACCAGTTAAATTTTCTAATAGTGTGCCTGAACGCGAAAGGAACAATGGGGAGCTATCCAAGAAGAATATGATTCAGAAGAATCGCCCGTGGAAAGCTTCTTTTCACTACCCATATTGTAATACCCCAATCAACATTTCGATGGAATTCGATGGTGCTTGAACTTATGTGGCAGCGCTGCAAAATGTGGAGAATAGTATGTTGTGGGTAGGGCAGAAGAAATCCGTTGGTGATTCGAAGCAGGTCGACCCGAAAAAACAACATAAGTCGGGCAAGTGGCATGTTAGAAACGGCATGAAACCGCGTTTTGGAAATATGGATGAATGTAACTTGAATTGTTTGGGCCAAAATCAAGACCACAAAATGAATGGGCTAAAAGAGAAGAAAC